AGTAAGAGGATTGTGGAAAAAACCTGCATTGTTTTGAAATTTAATGTGCATTACCGTAAATAGTGTAGTCAAATTGGCAACAACATTACCTCTTCCACCATGTCAATTATGATGTGATGAGATTGTGCAACTATAACATAGGTGAACATCAGTACTGTATCTCTAACGCGTGGTTTTGGACATCATCTTAGTTATAGTTACTGGTAATTTCTGGAAATTCAAAATGAGTTTTTGTGCAATAAACACATGTTTAGAGACTATATTTTTACTTCTTAACCTGCTTGGTTGCGACTTTACAGAAATTAAAATGTTTGTAGTATTTGTACGATTTTGACCAAGCCATTTTAGACGCCATCTTAGTTTTGAGATACGTATAAGATTCGGACCTTCCACATAATGGTTTTATTGTATTCCTAGTAACTTAAAACATGTTTAAACACTTCCTTTATGCTCCAAGCTGTTTATTTGCAAAAGTATAAAATTTTAAAATGGCAGCCATTTTGGACCATCTTGGTTTTGTGGTAATTATAAGACTTGGAAACTCAAGATAACGGTTTTATTTTATTCCTTGTACCTTAAAACATATATTTAGACACTTCATATGTGCTTCCAACTTGTCTGGCTTTAAAGATATGATAAAATATAAAAATGGCGGCCATTTTGGACGCCATCTTGGTTTTGGGGTACTTATAAGATTTGGACACTCCTGATAATGGTTTTATTGTATTCCTTGTACCTTAAAAGATATATTTAGACACTTCACTTTGAGCTTCCAACTTGTCTGGCTGCAAAGTTATGATAGAATAAAAAATGGCGGCCATTTTGGACGCCATCTTGGAATTTGCGAAAAGCTCAAGTAGAATTTTTCAGGATTTTTAATATGTTAATGCTGTTGGAGTATGAGCGCTGTTAAAATATTTGTTTAAATATTTTGTGTATTTTTAAAAATGCATTTTTGTGTTGATGGGCCTTTGGGAAAAATATGCATTTGCACTGATTATGTTATCCAGGTTAAGGGATGAACCCCAGTCTTATACTAGAAATATTTGATGCAGTAAACGCCTAAATAAATAGTATATAGCATAATGAATGCTTATGAGTGCAATGCAATGCCATTCATTATTTTTTTGTTTTATAACACTCCTAAATTGGACCCTCGTCAATTAATATTTTATATATCGAAGAATACAGACTCTGTAAATTTATAACATACCACCATGTTCTTTTTATTTAACGATTGATTTATTTAACATCTGTAGACTTAATTTTTATATAATTTAGTCTCCCTTTTCAAATGTTTGTGTGTTCCGGCAAATTGCCACCTGTCACAGTAGGACCATTTTTATTAGGCCAATTGCCACCCAGCCATTGGCAAATCAAAAATATTTGTTGGCTGGCAAAAGTGTACGTTTACGTAAAAGCGACCATCGAACAAAATTTAAAAAAAACAGCTATTACAATAAATACAAACTGCTAATATTGAAATAGTTTAAAATTACTTTTTACAATTATATATGTCTAACCATACAATAATGTCAAATATTAGTATTATTATGTGACTCTCCCCCTCCCCCCCCCACAAAAACACTCTGGAGAATGGTCTTATTGTATTCCTTGTACCTTAAAACATATATTTAGACACTTCAGCTGTGCTTCCAACTTGTCTTGGCTGCAAAGTTAAGATAAAAAATAAAAATGGCGGCCATTTTATACGCCATCTTGGATTTTAGGGAAAGCTCCAGTAGGATTTATTTCAGGAATTTTAGTACGTTATTCTACTCATAATTTTCAACCTATCCTGAAAAATTTAGCTTGTTATGAGAAATTGCCAGGTCTGTCTATATTTTCGACCTAAGTCTCTTTGACTATCACTCGACTCACTTGGGTAGAGTGAATTGAAACATCCTGAGACCAATTCAATCATGGGCAGTGGCGTATCTAGGAGTAGGGAAATAGGAAGGGAGTTGATGGGGGCACGAATGTGAAGTGGGCGTGTGTAGGTGTGTTTAAGCTGTCTAAAGCCATTTTATGACAATAGATAGCCTACCTTTTCTTTCAACAAACGAATATCCAGCCAAGCTAGGTGTGTGCGGTTTTGCATAATATGCAAAATTCAGTGCGACTAATAGTCGCACTGAAATTCTACGTTTAACTAAATTAAAAGAAGTTTTGAACAATGTAAAATTAACAACGTGATTGAATCTAATATTATGAGAATGAATAATAGTATAAAATGAGGTGCTCTGCTGTGAATAAATGACAGATATGAATTTATGAATATATACTTCGTGTAATTTATAAATATCCATTTCTCAGGATAAACTTGGTTTTAGCTTATATCCATTTTTAAAATTCTGTAATCTTAAACTACATTTTAAAAGTTAATTTTCTTCTTTTGTAATGAACTTGTATTGCTTGTATTTCCCATTTTGTTATTAATTAATTTTAAAATGTATTTTGATGTATTTCATGCGCTGTAAATAGGTAATTACTTTTATTCATTTTTAATATATTAATTTATTATTATTATTATTTTTATAAAATATTATTTATTTTAATCAATTATTAATTATAAATAAAATTGTTTAAAAAAACTAGCCTAATATTGGTACTGTAGTAAGGCCAGCTAACATTAGCCGTGTGCTTATGATCTAGGATCAACTGTCTAAATGTATGTGTTATAACGTATATTACAGATTGCTTTTAACGAATGGGAAACTCAAACAGCAAAGGTACAGTATCGCTGGGGCATCTGTTATTTCCATATATGCAATAGGCCTATCTTCATTATAATTAATACTTCTAGATATATATGATTCTCAAATGCAAAGTTGAAAAAATAATATATATAATACTACAACCAACAATTAACCTATGAGTAGGACTTTGTCAGCATGACACCCTGGCCCAACTTGGTGGGGCCTAAGGCTAGGAAATGTTTGAAATATTGCACCTTTAAATGCCTAGAAATGGCACTATCATAATTTAAAAGGTTTTCATAATTTTCTTTATATGTGATTAAAATAAATAAAACTTGCTCACCTCTCAGCCCTTAACTAAGATAAATTATTAGATTGGATTTCTTCAATGTGATACACACTCGATAACCCACGATCGTCATGATATATTATTTTCATTGAGTTTCCTCTTTTGGTGATTGGTCAGCACACTATGAGACAATCCCCTTCTATTTTCCGAAGAACGTACTGCGTTCGTTAATGTCTCATCCGAGAGACATTTGAAACTTGCATTTCAGTTCTCTGGCTGAAACACACTGAGAACAGCGATGTGAATTCAACCGGGGACCAAGTCCCCGGTTTAATTCACGTCAAGCTTGCAACTAGAGTGAAGCGTACTGTGACAATTTATAAAGGAGCTGGTTCATGTGGGAATATGGATAGATGGGAATGACGAAATGAAACTGAATTTACGAGACGGGACCTATTGCAAAACCAGGGAAATCAACCTCATGTTGTACTGAATTTTCGGTTTCAGGTGTTAGATGGTCAGGAATCAAATCTAGTGCGACCATCTCTTCAGTTTGTTTTATGAATTATGGATACGGACACAGGTTGAGCATAGATAGCCATGATTTTTTTTGTTTTAGACCACAAGCTTAGGCTACAGAAATGGGGGGAGGGGTGGCCTGTCTAGGCTGCCCTAGGCCTAACTTTGTTAGAGCTTAGGCTTATGCTCACACTTTAAAAGTAGGCGTACTTTTTGTGACAGAACATTGCAGTGTGTTAGCCAAGCACATTGAAATACACTTTGAAAAGTGAAAAAAAAATTAAATCCGGAAGCAGAGTATTAATCAAAACTTGGTCAGTATGACCGATGCAACCTCCCATTTATGAGGTGTTCACAATCTGGTGTCATTACGGTGAAAAAAAATCGCATTAAGCAATATTTCTCTCACACATAACAGCACAATCCAATCCTTTGCACATTTGCATTGGTAAAAGGTAGAGTCTATAGGGTGTTCAGGGATTTGGGTGAAAGGTCATTAAGGGATTATTTTTATTATTTTTCTGGCAACATTTCAAATCGTTACTAGTGCCAAGCGGTTGTGCCAATTTCAAACAAACCAGGTCAGTATAAACGGTAACACCTCCCATCCATGGGGTGTTTAATTACCGCTTGGGGTCACAGGTCACATAAGGGTGGGTCAAAAAATAAATAAATGAAAGACTTCTGTCACAAATAACATAGCTCAGTCTTGTCCTGTGTACATATGCATTGACATTAGGTAGGGTTTTTATGGTGTTCAGGGCTTTAGGGTTAAAGGTCATTAAAAGGTATGTGGTAAGATTTGAAAATGCTATAATGACAAACGATTAGACCGAATTCAATCAATTTGGTTATTAAGAACAAGTGAAACCTCTTACACCCAAGTTTGGGATCAGGGGTCATTTGGGTCAAATTTTACAAAATAGCCCAATTGAACTCAAAATTACCAAGAGAGATCATTAGGACTTTAAAACCATGACAAAAAAAAAACTTTTTACCCCATAGGTCAAAGTTCATAGGTCAAAGGTTCAAAATGCTACTAATGGCAAACGATTGAACCGAATCCAATCAAATTTGATCATCGGGATCAAATTTTCACAATAGTCCACTTGAGCTTAAATATACCAGGTATGATGCTTAGGACTTTCTAAAACATGAAAACAATATTCTTCACCCTATAGGTCAAAGTTCATATACCAAAGGTCATTCCTTTTATTTCTTTATGTTGCTCAAATTTATTATGGGTGATATTTAGGACATTGTAAGTATGTTTTAATTTGATTTCAGTTAAGTCACAGGTCAAAAATTACAGGTCAGTAGGGTCAAAATTATCAAATATTAGACCGAATGCATTCAAACTTGGTCAGTAGAACCAGTGCCGCCACTTCCCATCCATAGGCTGTTCACAGCTGAGGATTAAAGGTTATATAGTGATTATTTGGGTTAAAATCCTAAAAAATGACATAATATCTCTGGTTTTTATTTAATTTCAGATAGAATCTAGCTGGTAGAATGACATCATGGAAAAACAAATTGTTAATAATCGGTTTTTATGTATCGGTATTGTATTCACCAGTCACAGGTCAAAATGAAG